TAAATAATTGTATTTTAAATTAAATGTAATTTTTAATAAATGTTGGCATCAGTAGTTTAATTATATATTCTAAAATAATTAGAGCAATATACAACTGTATTACTCATGTTTCTCGCCAAAAACTCAATTTCCCTTTTCTTAACGTTACACTTGAACGCATCACGATGACCTAATTGTCGTTTTACTGAGCCAATCTGAACACATCATCACAGCACGTCTGAGACTTTATTTACTTTTCAAGCTAACTAGCTTGTATGCTGCCGATTACAACACGGATTTCACAATTACTATTGTAATAATAAAAAAAACGACCAGACTCGATAGTGGTATCGATAAGCCCAAACGGTATTGATTTTCGTGTTTTGAAAAAAGTGGAACCGGGTCTTTGATAGAACCGGGTTTCGATCCCCATCCCTAGTTAGCACAAAGTCCACCATTACTCAGCATCTGAGGGGAACTGACCACGATAGCAGAACCGCACAGGCCGAAGCAGAGCACGTGGCGCAGGTTGACTCTGTCCCCGATCACGCCGCTCAGATACAGACCCTGGAGACAACCAGAACCAGAACCACCATCAGATTAACCCCAAAACTCTGCTTCTGATCCGCTTTCATTCTCAGAGACTCTGCCTCTCTTAGGGGCTCTTTTCTGCTGAGTCATGCTACTGACTCCATTAGTCAGCTTTCTTTCTTCATGTCCAACTTTTGACACAAATCCCTGTAAATGACTTAACCCTGTAATGCCAAATGTATCATATTTGATTAATACGGTTTCTGAAATGTTTTGCGTCTGCCACCTTTTGCATAATTTAATGGTAAAAACTTTGCTCAAAATCCTATTGTACACAATCAGATACACCTGATAACAGGGGGCAGAAGACTACACAAGAAATAATCTTGACTTATCACATGGTAATAAATGATTAATATCAAAAATGTATTTCTGTTTTTTCTTTTTACATATTTTGTTAAAAGGCCAAATAAAGACTTCAAATTAAAAAAAGTAATTTTCTGTTTTATTTTATTCTTGGATCAGGCTTTAAAGGGTTGAATATAGCATTTTTTTATCTGAAAAAGAGTCAAATATCTCATTTTCAATGTTTAAATTGTTCCGTGTTTGATTGTCTTCCTGAAATTTCAAGTCAAAATGACAGTAAAATTGTCTAAGTCTAAGTCATTGAAAAGTTGTTTCCCCCCTTTCTGCATGCCCTGCTCACCACTGCATATGAGAAGAGGAAGATGGAGTCCAGAGCTCCCAGGAAAAGAGTGGCCTGCTTTTCATCTGCAAACAGACGATTGTCCTCCCATGTCTGGAACAGTAACAGAAAAACAGCCTTAATCCCGAGCAGACTCCAGGAATCCATGTTTTTAT